AAATTCTAACTGTATTTAAAATGTTTAAACTTTTTTCTAATAAATATAAGCATGAAGGTCAAATTTGTTGGTGTCTGACCAGGTCTGCTGAAGGTCACCATCTGTGAATGACGTTAAATATTGTGGTGCCCAAAGTAACGACATAGTGGGAGCATAGAATGTGCTTTTCTTAAGACCATTTCTTCCATTTTATAAAGTGGATGTGGAAAGGCAATGTCCACTCTTTCACTTCACATTCCTCCTAAGGGACTTGTACTTTAAAGTCCTTTTCTCATTTTATGGTGGGAAAAACATAACAAATGTGAAAAGTCAGGGTGCTTCATTTTCACAGGTGATAAAAAGTATGTATTTCATCACAGTTTTCCCTACCTTTGAAGCTAGAATTTGACTCTGTGTTTCCTGATAGATAACTACAGGCCTTTTTTTCTTTTTCTTCTGCTTTCCTCAGTGCTTAGGATCTTCTATTTTTAGTTCATGACAGAACTCTACTTGTGTATTTTATTTTAAGTCTTCTCAAATAGATTTGGGAAATAGGTACTATAAATAAATGATAAATAGTTTGTGCGCCAGAGCTTGTTTCTTTTTCTGTCCCAGAGCTTGACTGTTTGGCAAGGTCTATCTCAAAGATGACATGAAAACCAGGAGATGTTTACAAATCCTGCTGAGATACAGACACAAAGCATGTGGAATCAAACACATTGAAATGCCAGAGCATAAGGTGAAGCTTTCATTCCCAATATTATCCCTCACAACATGGGAGTTGCCTTTTGTTTCAGCCTCTCATATTAAAAGAGGCTCTCCTAATGCTCTTCTTTGATCAAACAATACTGAAATATTCAATCCTCCAAATTCAATTCTCAATTCAATTCAATACTCAATTCAATACTCAATATTCAAATACTCAAAACAACCTGAAATAAACTCAACGTTGACATAAGAGGTAGAGCTGGTAAAGACAGTAAAGAAGTTTAATATGGATTTGGTAAATATTACCTGGAACAAAAATCTCTACATGTTATACTTACATTGAAAAGTATGGAATACCAGAGGGAATAAAAATGCATTTTAAAAAATTTTATAAGTGAGTAGTTTTCTATTCAAATAAACTATCCAGTGACATCATTATAAGGAGATCCCCAAACAGACACTCAGACCCTGAGACGATCCAGAAATTTGCTCCAAATTGGATGTTTTAGGTGGATATGAAGTGCTGAACAAAACTCTTTTTAATGAAATAAGGGGTAAAAAAGGCAGTATTTCTCAACTGGTATTTGTATTGACATAGTTTTTAACTGTGTAGGTATAATTTAATTAAGATATTAAATTGACAAGTGATTATTTGACTTTTATCCATATTACTATAAATTTATATATTCAAGTTGCAAAACAGCATTTCTTTTTCTTTTATGTCTGGATATATTCACTAAAGCATGAGAGAGCATCTTATATTCAGGCTAACAATATTTGAGACAATGCTTTTTACATTCTCAACATTTTTAGAAGCAAGTGACAGTGAGTCTTAGAAATTGAAGTATTCCACAAATTAGACCATTGGTTCTGAACTGATCTGTAGACTAAATGGGAATAATTAACATATTTTTCTGTACTCCTGATTTTACAAAGATATCCAGGGGGTGGTCATTTGAATTCTGAAAAATTGATATTCTTTATCACTGACCATGTCCCAATTTTTATGATAGCTGTTTTTGCATTTAATTTCATATACTCTTAGCACCATTCACTTGAGATTGTTATTACATTGATAATATGAACAGATGGGAATCCAAAATGTTAACAGTAACAACTGTCACTATAAAATTTTAATTTTTTCTTTTCTAATTTTTTCCATAATGAACATATATAATTTTTATAATTTTAAGAAAGAAATAACAAGTGAATCAAAATTTATTATATATACACAGTCTGTATATTTTTTCTACACCAAACTCTCCTAAAACCATGAAGACTCTTTTTATGAGTTCTGGAGCTGAATTGGTTTAATTGGCTCACAAATTCATTAAACTAGACCATCTCTAGGCAATATTATAAGACTAACAATAGCAAAAATTTTGACTAGTGCCAGCCTCCCCACTAAGATGCCACAGTAATAAGAATAAGTGGGATTATTGATGTTCTATAGTCATTTACTCTAAGATTTTTTTTTTGCACTGGTCTAAAAGATGACACAAAAGCAATCATATAAATTTCAAGTTATTTGAGAAAGAATCACTATTCATTAAGAAAGGAGACCTATTAATATTAGAGGTACTTACAAGTATTTCTTACATAAGTGACTACAAGAAAAGTGTGCTGAACCATGAACACACACCAATGCTTTATAAACACAGTTCTCAAAATAATTTTAATTTCAAACCTGAAATCTGCTTAAAATCTGCTTGTCCCCTGGGGCTAATAATACATTATATGTTTATAAAAAATAAAAAAAATAAAAATACTAAATCTGCTTTCAAGAAGGGAAGTAAATAAATAATTTGCAAAGAGTTTTCTTTCCATATATCCCTATATATGGACAGCAAAATGGCTGTCCCTATGCTGAGGTGATCCTACATTGTTTTTTCTAAAAATCATCTATCAGTTTTTCATTCACAAGGTTTAAACAAAAGAAAGTTACTTACCTGGGGGTGTTACTATGAGCTTAGTTCCTTGTGCAAATCTTTTGACCCAGACTGTTAGCACATTGGTTAGAGGTTCTACAAAAACATCAGACTTCTCCTGAGCTTCATGGCAGGACCAGCAGGAAGAAACCTTGTACTGGCAATTTGATCTTCAGAGTTTCCTGGGGAATCCTTGAATATAGGCTTCATAGCATCTGATATTTTATAAGTTTACCTGAGCTTAGTTGACCCAAGTGTCTGTTTTCCAAGAAGCCAATAGTTACTGAAAAGGGCTGATAGAAAACAAAAACACTAAGAACAAAAGAAAAAAAAAAAAAAGAGAGAGAGAGAGATTGGGATTAACTGGTCAACCCACTACATATCTACATTATTAGGAAAGTGTTCAGTGAGTTAAGAGGTTGATATCCAGGTGTTCAATTATTTGAAATTGCTCAACATGTGCATCAAAGGAAAAGCCTTTGTGTTCTCACAAACACCAGACCTACTCTGTTAGTAATTTGGGATTGTATTTCTAAAGAAGGGAATTCTTCAGTAACTTACACTGCAAATATACCAATAGAAATATATTTGAGAAATGTGAACAATGTTCTCCATTCTGTAATAAGCTGCTTTAATGACAGCAAAATGATTTTTTACTGCACAATCAAAATGAGAAAATAATTTGTGTAATGACATATTATCCCTGGAATGAAAGAATCAATTTGTAGAAATCTATCTTCTATGAAAAAATAGATACCATTTTAACCCCAAATTTGAAAACACAATCCATTTCTCTGAAATGTTGAAAGAAGCAGCCTCTTGGAAGCTATTCTGTGATCTTCAGAAATGCATGCGTAGCCCTACTTCTGTGGTTAACTAGCTTTGGACAAGACATTTGCCACCCCTGCTTTCCCACATCCCATTTGCTGTGTGGGCATTGGGCTATGAATGTTCCAAGGGTGCTTCCTGTTCCCACAGCTTATGAACCTGTGATTAAGAGCAGGAAAGTGTCTGCTGTGGTTGCTCAAGTGAGAAGGTGTTGAGGGTTAGTAATAGAGAAGGTTTACTTACAGGTCCTTCTCACTCTCTGATATTGTGAGATTCCAGTAGGCACAATATCAGGGGGCTTCATGGGACATGAGGACCTTATTGACTATCAGGTAGAAGACTGTTGTTTTTCTTATCTGTGATTAGCCAGAATTTGGCTAGTCTTACAGGCAATATTGGTTGAGCTTATATGATTCATTTCAGGGGCTCTTCTTTAATTGGTACCAGGGGACAATGACCTTCTCAAGGGAAACCCTAGACTGCTTGCAATGTATATGAAAAGTTCTGACTGGTGTTCAGGTAAAAGGGAGTTGATTCTGAGAGATTCTCATTTTAGTGTCTCATTTGAAATGCAAGGGAATACGTTCAGAGGTACTGCACAAGTTGATAGTGGACATAAAAAACAGTGAAAAGACAAGGTGTATAGTCACCTACAAACCCAGGCCAAAGATACACATACATCCATAGGTTTGGCGTTGCCAGTGACTAATTAGAATGGGATCCAAGAGGGGGCATGAATCAGGACTGGGAAGGTAGTGGTGGAGGCAGCCCTTTTTCCTCAGAGGCAAGAATGGGGAAGGAAGGTTTGCTTTAGAACCAATGAAAGGCCCTCTCAGTAAGATCTGTCTCAGTGTTATTTTATTATGTTCTTGGTATAAAGAACTATCAGATCCTGGAAGACCTCACCAAAACACCCGTGTTATAATAATTCAACGTATATTCCCCTTGGGAACAACAACCTTGCATTTTTCCTTTAGCTTTTACTTCAGACATACCTATCCTTGAGCTCTTTTTCACTCAGATTGAAAGTGTGGAGAGCTCTAACTTAGCGTGCAAATTGGAAGAAAAGTCTTATTATATAATAAAAAACGAGATACTAATCTCACAACCTTATGCAGAAGTAAGTATATTTTATGGATCAATAGTTTATAGAAAGTTCACAAAGTTTGACAAATATTTAAAATTACTATAGTTATTGCTTTAGATGCTATGACATTTCTATACTCTACTGTGAATAAAGAAAAATATTGGAGGAAAAATATCTGTCATTTATTACCCTTGACTCTTTCCCTCTTCACAATTCTTAGCTTTTTAGAATTAAAGCAACACTTTACTGTTGTTTAGAGGGCAAAGTGAGATGTGATTTTTAAAGACTCTCTGAGATCCTGTGTTCGCTGAGATGGCTAATGAAGTAGCTCAGTTATAATGGGAAAGGACACTGTGATGTGTTGATCCCGTACTAGAACTGTCTGTATGCAACCTTCTTTAGTTCCCAGCAATTCAGCAGGTTAATACCTAAAACTGGGAACACAATATAACAAAGATTTAGTACCTTTCCTCAATCAATGCTGCTGGTTAATTGGCTGAGCAGGAATTTGAAATCCAGATCTGTAACACTCAAAAGTCTTGTATCTTCCACCTTTCATTCCTTTGTTCATTTGTTCATTCATTCAAACTCAGCACACCATTTTGCACACTGATTTGTCTTCCTTCCCCAGAAACTTCTCATAGATGCAGAAGTATAAAAATCAAGACACTTGCAGAAGTTAGTGTAGGTCCCACAGAGGTAAGGATAGTTGATAAAGTGACCTGACTGAAAGAAACATCACAGGTTCGGTCCTTGGGCTCCTAGCTCAGACATTGCTGAGGACACAGATTCAGGAGAAAATTCCTGTATAGACATTAATCAGGTCCCTCTGGGAGGTAGAAAGGAGCATGTATGTGATGGCAGGGGTGTGGAGTTGTGGGAGGGCTTTTGTCCAGTGGCAGCGGAGCATTTCCACACTTCACTGGAGTGTATTTGAGCTGGTGTAGTATTCCAGCCCAGCGTCTGCCTCACTAACTTGGTGTATCTTGAGGCATGCTGGTAAGACCCATAGACAGAGAGAAAGGGAGCCACAGTATTTACACCAAATCATCCTGCAAAATAGGTCTACTAACTCTCTTTATCAGCAGATTTCTCTCATCACTGTGTGACTGTTACCATCCAATGATATTAATGTAAAGAAGCCATTTTCTTGTTAATGGACTGTAGTCCCTAATTGGTTGAAATCAATGGGAGAGGGAGAGAGAGAGATGGAGGAAGTTCTTACAGTTCTTTGCTTTTATGAGTTATGCTTATCCACTCCCTCCTTTCCTTTTTCCTCTCTCTCTAGTCCTTCCAATGCAGTTGGGATAATTTCTAGTGGTCTTTACTCATGTAGACTAATTCTTTCCTTGTATCTCTTAAATCCACTGGTGAGTCTTTTTGGCATTCTTCATTTCCTTTATTGTGTTTTTATTTCTTGCCTTTAATTTGGTTCCTTCCATCTCTCTACTCTCTACTCTCTACAATCTTGAGTATTGTTTACCTTTTCCATTAGATTAGAGCCTTTAATATATTAATCATAGTTATTTTGAATTCCCTGATAGTTCAACATCTGTGTCATGTCTCAATCTGGTTGTGGTAATGGCTTTGAGTCCTCAGAGTGTATTTTTCCTGACCTACTGTACGTCTATGAAATTTTTGTTTGGAAGCTGGACATGTTGTGTGGTATAGTAGATACTGAAGTAAATATGTTTTGTGTTTGAAAGTGAACACACCTTTCCTGTTAGGCCTTTACTTTGGGGGTTTATGTTAATGGATCAGGAGTTAGACTGGAGTTGAAGTTTGTTGTTGTTAAGTTATCAGGGTTGAAATTTGTTTTGTTAGTGTTCAGACACTTAAAAATTCCCTAGTTCTACTTTGTCTTTTCTCCTCACTTGTCTTTGAGTCTAATGTTTGTTTTGCTCACCAGAGAGAGTCCATCTTTTGAAAGTCTCTGAGTTCTATTCCACTGTGACTTTTACTAAAGGTTTTCTGGCCTGTGGGTGAAAAGTCAGGGAGGGAGACATTCCTGATATTTTCATTAAGTCTCAATTTTAAGCAGATGCAGTGAAAATGGGTTTTAAGGATGTGGTCTTCACAACTATTCCTTCCAGTTTTCCAGAAGTAGAACATTTTAAATCCCTATTTCACTCCCTCAGCCACAATAAGTACCCACCTACTTCAGGTTGTACTTTGATGCCCATCCTTCTGTAAATGAAAAGGTGGTACTTTTGGACATAGAGGAGATGTTTCTGGTGAACATTTTTGTGATCTCCTCCTTTGCCTTCCCTCATCAGCAGGCGGATTCCACCAGCACCTTCCCCTGCAGATGAAGTCACTTGTTTCTTATAGTGGTGATGGCATAGATTAGGTCTGTGTGGATTTAGCTCTAGCTGTTGTTCCCCTCCTGCAGCATCAAGGGAGAAGCATTTTTCTGGAATGTCCCTGTTCTTCCCTCCAAGAATTTTATGGAGTTCCTGGAGAAGACACTTAAAAGGTGATGGGAAATACTTTATACATTGTCCCTCAGGGTTCACACTCTTCCACTAGTCTATACTCAGCTCTTTATATTTCTTTAGAAATTTCCACTTTAATCTTGTGACCAGGTGAATGTGTTTGACATCTATCCAAGATGAACAAATGCTCACTTCCTGTTTCTCCCTGCAAGAGCCTGTCTCCAATTTTTATTTAAGTACAATTTCAGTTCTCCAATGGATACACAGAATGACATTTCAGCTCCTCCTTTTTTGGATGTTATTTTAAGTTAAGACCTGAGCTATTTCCAGCTCTCAACACCTTGGAACACATGTGGGTCCTTTTTCCTAAATTTTGTTTGTTTGTTTTCCTTTATTTTTTAAAAGATTTTACTGATTTATTTGAGAGGAAGAGTGAGGGAATGAGAGAGAGGGAGAGAGAGCACAAGTGGTGGTGGTGTTGGGTTAGTGCTGGAAGGGAGAGGCAGAGAGACAAGGAGACTTCCCACAGAGCAGGGAGCTCAAGCCTGGGACTTGAGAGTCAGGGACTCAAGCCTGACTCAATCCCAGGCCCTGAGATCATGACCTGAGCTAAAAGCAGACACCTAACAAAGTTAGCCACCCAGGTGCCCCTGTTTGTTTTTCTTTAGTGTAAATTGTTGTTAAATTTCAGTTGAGTTCTGCCCAAATTCCCATTATATCTCTTTATAATTTTTTAACTGTAA